AAGGAAGGAAGGAAGGAAGGAAGAGAAACTGCTGGCGAAATGTTCAGCACCCCCCCTTATTCAAGCAGAGAGGCTTCCCCACAACCCGACATTCCCGTCTTCCCCATCTTTTTCCCCAAAGCAAAGGCGGGGCTCCCCCTAAAAGCCCCACGTACCACTCCTTCTGGATCGACGAGAAGCAGATGTTTTGGCTGCCCCCCCTGCAGGCCGGTGAGCACATACTGGCCCGGGGTGGTGGTACTTTCGCGCACCAGGAAGTCCCCGTTGGCTTGCAGCAGCTTCTCCGACTCCTTGCGGCTCATCTGACCGTGATACCATGGTTCCCGGCGGAGCTGCTCCTCCATGGTAGCTGGCGGGTGGGAGGGCGGAACAGGAGCCGGCGGTGCCCGCAAGGCGTCCTCGAAAGGCTCTGGGGAAGGAGGGAGGGAAGGAGGGAAGCCGCCGTTAGGAGCGATCCGCAGCCCGCCCCATTGCTGGTGCCCTTCAGCCTCACTGAGGTCTAGAAACCTGCTTCCCTGCTTCCTCACCGCAAGCCCTCCTCCGCAAAAGAGGAGGAACGGTGGCCCGAGGTCACGCGAGACCAGGTGAAAACTTTCGCCCCAGCTTTTGGCTGACCGTGTTTCAAGGAGGATACTTGTGATTCAAACCCGTGTGGATAAATTATGGAGATTAGCGGCTTTTTAAGGGGGCTACCATGAAGCACGCTGCCTCTGTTTGGGGCTTATAAATTAAAGCCAGCAAAGCGTTTACACGTTTTAAGATCAGTCTATCCCAATCATTTATAAGGCCGCCCACAATAGCTTTGCATAATCTCTGTTCCCAGGTTTTCAGCCTAATAAGTCATGATAAGAAAGGAAAAACAGTTGAGGAGGGTAAAGGAAAACAACCCTCCCCATCTGTTAATAATATGTATAGGTTGCTTCTCTGTCTTTGGCTAAGATCAGTTGTACCGTAGTATAGATCTCACGAACAAGTTACCCAATGGAAAAAAAAAGATGGTTGATCAATGCCGAATTATTTAATGCAAAACAGTGTCCCCCTCCTCTGTCAAATATTCTAGCTCAATTATTTTGTGCTATGGCAAAGGGATACTCTCCACGATTCTGGGTGGCTCGCGAATTACAAGAAAATCAGTAAGACATAAAAGACATGGGAAGAGCCCCTCCTGGTTGGCTGAACTACAACTCCCATCATGCCTCCTCGGGGCTTTGGGTGCTGGGAGTCAACTGGGAATTCGAATTAAGCAATCCCCTCCCCATCCCGGATTCCTAATCTTGGTGCTCTGATTGCAGGGACTGAAGGGGTCCCCCGTCCCCTTCCGCCACTCACTCATGTCAAAGAGGTCCCTCTGCACGCTGCCGTTGGAGGTCACGCCCGGGACGCCCGGCTGCATTTTCTCCATATTTTGCACGTTAACGTAGGAGGGGTCAACGAAGACCTCTGTGCGGCCAGGAGAGCACCTATCCCTGCCTGCAAGGGGGGACAGGACAGGATAAGAAAACCCTCAAACGCATGCCCCCAGATTGTGGAAACATCGCTGAACCCCGAGTGGGGACGGGGGTCTTGACAAAAGAACCAGCTGGATCACGTACCTTGCGCGACCGAATGTGGCTTCTTGGATTCGTAGTCCCCGGCTGCCACTTGTCCAACAGGCTACGGGAAGGAAGAAAGGCAGTTTAGCTGAAGGCCCGAGAGCATTTTAAGCCTCCCCGCGCCCCAATATTCTTGCAACAGTACGAGTAAATTAAGAGCCCGTGTCTGGTTGGGGAGCAGATTTGGGGGAGATGAGAAGAATTCAAGAGGGTGGACTGGCTGGGAAAGATCCTCAGGGAAGACTCAAGGAACCCATTTTACAGATTATAGAGAAAAACTGAGGACAACCAGCATGACATGGAGCACAGGCACAATATAGCCAAGATGTCCGCTGAAAACAGCTTGCAGACGGGTGTCTTATGCCGTGCACGGCAGTCATGGTGGGGGGCTTACCAAGGTGGCTCCCAAATTGTTGGGGGTTTGGGCCGCCGCAGCCCCATCCCGCAAGCGCAGGTCGACCACCCCCCCTAAGGGCGGCTCCTTTCCCGGGAAGTCGTTGTAGTACTGATGGTCGGGCGGCGGATCGTCCTCTTCGTCCCAAGCGGAGCTGTCGAATCCGGCCATCCTGGACAGGCGAGAGGGACGGCGGTCAGAGAGCAACGCCAGGACCGCTCACACCCACGGGTGCATTGGACGGTCTCATCCCCCAGGGGCTCTGCCGGTGATTTTGGGAAGACCCCGACGGCGAGGGAGAGGAACAGACAACCGATAGTCTGCCCATGTGTCTGGAGGTTCGCGAGGGGGAAACAGACGGGGGTCCAATCCTGCCCCGCCCTACCTGTCGTGAGGCGTGACGAGCTTGGGCGGGTTCTTCAGGTATTGCTTGAAGCGCAACTCGAAGGCCTGCCCGATGGTGCTGATGACGTCTTGGGACAGCCCCTCGGGGCACTCCAAGATGTGGCAAGCTGTGGAGAGTCACCAAGGGAAAGAGGGTTGCATTGACTGATTGATCGATTCTTTTTCCTGAACCACAACGCCCTGCGGAAAAAGAACAGCTCCATCCTGTCGCAAACGGGTCTCGTGCTTCCAAGCCGAATTGTGGGACAGAAAAAAGAGCATCGAAGATTTTCTTGACGTTTTTCCCCTCCTTGTAGGACAAATTATTGGGGTCCGGGAGACCGATGGATTGATTTAAATTTATCAGCTACCAACTGCAGCGGACTCTGGAAAATCCCCTCCCTGCCGATTGTACGGGTGCCCGTCCTTGTCATTTCTCCTGCTAGCATTTCTTGCCATTTCTCCTTCTGCTCCTCTTCCTGCAGAAACTGACCGCCCAGGCTCGCTGCATCAGGAATCGCGGCTGGGTGGAAAATAAATCGCCCAGCTCTGATCGGTTCCAAGAAAGGGGGCGCGAGAGCTTTCTATCCAAACTTTAAAGCTGTTCCGGGATCTGACGATGGAGTGGAGGTTTTATGGAGCTTGGGAAAAAGTTCTTCACCCTGATGGGACGCTGGGCACCACGGCGTGAACATCATCACCAGGGCCACGTCTGGGATTCAGCAGATGATTTTCCAAAAGCAGACGGGACCAAATCCGTTGGAGGAAAGTGTTTTCGTAAGTCCAAATGTGCTTTGAATCCCAGGTTTAAGGGCCTGATTTGAACCCTTTCCCAAACTCCATGAAAACCAGAAGGCGTGAAAGAGAGCCACGCCATGGTACCCCCAAATAACGGTTTGGGCTTGAGGGTGAAACGCAACTCCAGATCCAATGCGGGGAAAAGAACCGAGAACAGGGCAAGTGGGGGAGATCCGGGCAGGGATCGCGGAGCACCCACCTCTGTGATTCACGGGGTCTTTGGCAACGTAGGCGACGTACTCTGCTGTGTCCTGCAAAAAGCAAAATAGACGGTGAAGGCCAGATTTGGGGAGGGGGTGGGGGAAAAAACCCACCGCGCACACACGTACACCTTAGCAGAGTTTTGCAAAAAATGATACACGCATCCCGGATTTCTGCGGACTGCGCCCTACTATCCCCCCACCCCAAAATAAGATAGGAGAGAGTAACTAGATTAACTAGCAGGTTTCAGGGCTAAGCAGGGAATCTCTCCATTCCTAACCCCCAATCATTAGACATTTCCTCCCCTACAAAGAGGACGATCAGAAATCCAGGGAGTCCTGCCAGAGAGGAGGACAGAGGGACAGCAGGGGACAAAAATCTTGCCCGGGATCAATTTGAATCCACCAGGATTCCAACCATCGCAGCACAAGGCAACGGAATTCTTTGATCTGCTGAGCATGGAAAACGCTCCGTGATTCGGGGCTCGTCCCGAACCACCGCGCAACCGCAGCTCTGCCCTGCGGGAAGCAGAAGCAAATTTTTTGAGGAAGAAAGGGAATTCTCAACACACTCACCGGATCGCCTCCGGAGGCAAAGGAAATCGACTGCATATGGTGGTTGGCAATGATCTAGAAGCCGGGAAGGGGGAGAAATTGAGACCGACGCAGCCCGCAAGCCACAAGATCCACATATCACTTTATAGACGCCCAGGATGTGTACATTTATGCTGAAGCAATGGGGCCAATTTTTTTCCCCCTCTAATGAACTACATGCTGACCCCTTGAAAAACTCTTTTGGTGGCTGACAGTTTCAAAACAGAGCAATAAAGTCATGATAAATGCCTAACCGGGCAATCTGCAGATCTCCCATCTCTCAAAGGTTGCCAACGGCCCTCTTCTACATATGTTAAATAACTCTAAATATGTTAAATAACTCGCTTGCTTTGCACCACTTCAACCTTCTTGCTAGTGAATAAGGTCTCTTTTTCACATGGGGAGCATCCAGATTGGAACTCCCCACTTCAGGGAATTCTACCCGTGGCCATCAAAAAAGTTAATAGCAAATCTTGGGCTCGGAGTGGTTCAAATTCCCACCTTCTGCGTTGCACGGTGGACCCCTCCCTGGGTTCGGATCTCCTGGTTGCTTGACACAAGAGACTTGGTTAAACCCAACCGGCAGCTCCAGACGCTGCCAGGAGAAGCACAAGACGGGGAACCTCACCTGCTTACAATCAGATGCCATGAGGTTAAGGCTGCTGGTCGAGATGGTGAGGGTGATTGGCATCGCGGCAAACTTCAGGTTGGTCTTGCCGAGGATCGAGTTGAGCGCACGGCCGCAGGGCTGCCGAACGGGGAGAAACGGAATAGCTATGGGCGGGGAGAAGCTGAGATGTGTGGCCGCTCTCCCATAACCGCACCCTCCGATGTAGAATTGCAATCCCAAACGCTGAACCGGTCGCAGCATTTGAAAAAGGCCCTCCCATCTTAGCTCAGGGCTCCGAAAAAAGACCGAAAGACCGCACTCCGCCGGACTCGGTTCGCAGAATGAACGACAATCAGCTTATGGGTACGGAGGTAAAAATCAAGCAAGGCGTGAAAATGGTAACTTCCGAGTTTGCCTCCCCAATCCCCCGGCTCGTTCAGAGCTCCAGAAGTGGTTGGATTTCAGGGAAAAAAAGAAAAAGAAATTCAAAACTAGGATTTTCTAGCTGGGGAAGGGTTTGATGAGCAGGACGCAACGGGATGGATTTGCAAAGCGGGCTAAGCCAGAAATGGTGGGTCAGAGGCCACAGTAGCTGGGCTGGTGGCCCTAAAGCCACAATTGTCGCTTTTTCGCTGGGTGGGCCGGAGGTTATAACCTTACACCCCTTCTGGAGCAAACGGTGCAAAATGCATGAGAAAGCTAGAGGTAAGAGTGGATTGGGCCCCGGGCCGCCCTGAATTTCTTTCTTTGGGAGGGCTCGCTAAAGATACCTCGACCCTCAGACCCCCCCCCCCCTTTACTTGGAGTTTCTAATGAAGAGGCTGGTGAAAGAGGGAATGCAGAAATAAAACATGTGCCAGTTTTACTGGGGGAGGGGGCAGGGGTGCAATGCTAAGAAATACAAGGAGAACGTGGCAGAGAAGGGGGGAACACAATGCCCAGTAAAAGGAAGGGGGAAAAATGGAGAAAGGGGCACCGAGAAGGGAGCAAGCTCCCCCACCCCCACCCCGTTTCTCAGCATCCATTAGAGGGGCTGCGATGGCAATGTATTGATCAGCTCGGTCTGCGCTGAAACTTTGATTGAAGCCTCTGACTTATTTCTCAGCGAGGGGCAGCCTCAGAAAGGAAGGAGGGGGGCTGGTTAGAGGTCTCAAGTCCTACCCCCATCCATCCATTTCCTTCTTGCTTTTTTGTTTCTTCAGTATTTTATTGCAAAGCCAGAGCTCGCTTCT